ACAGAGAAAGTAAAGGTCTTTGCCAATTCATTCAGGAGCGCTATTTCGTCTAGTGCTCTCCCTTTCACTTGATTGCAAGGTGTCAAGTCTGCATGACAGATTTCCAAAACTGTCAGTTGTCATTTCACTTACCTTTCTCTTCTTTGCTTTTGTGGCTTTCTCATTTCTGGATGTAAATATTAATTATACTGGTTTCTTATAATAAACTGGGGGAAATTACTAGTTTTTCAGTACCAACCAGAAATAAACTCCTTCTGTAAAGGGTCGTGGTTCAGCAGTGAAAGACCTGGATGACCAGTAGTGAAGCCTACCGTGGACAGACATCCTGTTTATCTATCTCTATCTCCTCTCTGTTTCCTTAGTATGAAATTTTCTTGTCTGAAATTGATTTGTTGGGCTATGTAAGTTTTTATCTACAGATTATTTTGCTCTTCTTTGGGATGGTATCTCTGCTCCAATCAGTTGTTGCACTTTCAGTCTGTCCCTGGGAATCTTCAGGAAGAGTGGGGCAGGGTTATACAAATGGGTACCAATTTTTGAAAATAAAATAAGAAGTATCTGCTAAACTTCTGGGCTTGTTGAAATCAATTTTTTTTTGGTCCTCAAGAAAAGGGGGGTATTCTGGCTTCAGGCAAAACAGCAGTGTTATTTCTTTATAATGTGCATGAAAGGACATAGTTTTTAGCAGCCCAGCATTTGCTTAAATTTGAGTAAAACCATTTGTTACCAATACAAGTCAGCTTCCTGGTTCTCCTTAGTGTCCTGCTTACATAGCACATTTTTCCCCTCAAGTTATGAATTGAGTGAAATCCTTCTAAAAGCAAGAAAATTAGTATTAAAACTTCAATGCATTAAGAATAATCTTATGTTTTTAAAATATTAATATTTTTATGCTATTACAGTAGCCCCTGTTTAAAAAATGAAGGTTTCTTCTTGACAAAATATGATTTTTTTTTATACTCCTAAGCCTCAACACTGAAAAATTATCAAATATAGCTTCTCAGCAGATTCATCTTGTATTTGTATTTACAGAATATACATATGTCACAGTAATTTGAAAGTTTAATCCTTCAAAATATTTACATTAGGGTTTTAACATTCAAAATGGAAAGGCTTTTTAAGCTGAAATAAAAATGGGAGGGATAAAGAGAAGGAACAAGTAGCTTATCATGTGAAGAGGGTATTTTTAGTAGATGCACTTCTATCATGTAGTCATAGGCAGGTAAACCATATGCATTTGCTGAATGAAAATATCATTGGCACTCTGAGCATAACATGCTTCCTTTTTTTATATTCTTGAAAAAATTATATTAATGCTCAAAAGAATTAAATTCAATCCAGGATTACAAAGTTATTTTAAATTGCCAGAAAGATATAATCCTTTGAATGGTCACCTCCAAGCACTTAGACATGGTGTTACTGACCTGCTTCTTCCATAAAATCAGCCCTTTTGAATGCCTGCATCATTGCTCTCTTACTTGCATGAGTTTAGGTATGTATGTGCATATATAGGCTTTTGCAGTAGTATGCAGTGTTGTATAGTCCAGAAAGTCAGATAAGCAACTTCATGCATTCACTAGATGTTATAGGGATAAGTCTAAAGAAATAAAATAATGGGGACTGCCCAGAATGCTTTTTACAGATACACTAAAATTTTTTCCCTGCATCTCAGCAAGCAGATTAAACTTCTTTACTTTCTACAATTCAATAGAGAGAAAGTATCACAAAAATAATTATGTATAGCCATTTATATAAATGGATATATTGATGCTATTTATAAGTAAGGAGAGCACATTGATGCATTGCTAAGGAAACCTGAGCTGGAATCACTTGATCTTTCTGGGTTACTGAATGCTTCCCCCCTGCACTTTGTTAGCTTGTCAATGTGCAGGACAAGAGTTTCTCTCTTGCTTTTTATTTATTAGGAGAAACAGAAGCCCTCCCAGTGCTAGTCATTCTGACCTCATGATCTAAGGTGACCAGCAGAAAACTTCACAGATTCCTATATTTATCTGTGCTGATGTGTTTTGCTGTATCTACCTGAAAGATATACTACTTTTTTTTTCCTCCTTAATTAGCCACATGCAACACAGAAAGGAACAGTATACAGAGTAAAGTGTTTAAGTGATTCACGTCAAGTTCACACAATATGTCATCTACATTATTTGATAGTTCAGCATATTTTGAAAATATATTTAAAAATTTTAATTATCAATATCCACAAGTAATTATTGGCTTGAAAATTTTTGGTGCTACCCTAAAGATTACAAAGGTGATAGCATTTTATTATAAGCATATGCTTTCTTTTAAATATGAATAATATACTAAAAGTTGGGCTTCCTGGACACTTGAATTCATCTTTTTATGGTTAAATGAACTTCAACCAAAATGTAGGTGGTGGTATAATGGGTTGGTGCAAATATTTCCAATATCATTTTAAAATGCCTATTTTATTTAATGTTCCAAGATATATTAGACTGAAATAAAACATATGCCACCTCTGAATTTGAATTTTTTGTCTAAGAGGTGTGTTACTAATGATTTGAAACAACAAAAGTATGCAAGTTGGCTGTTTAATTGATGAATCTTGCATTTTGAAAGTAATTCCTGATGGTAACTTTATTCATATTCACATTACTTTAACTGGCTAGTTGGATTTCTATCAATTGCTATTGCAAGAACAATTGTCACATAGTTTTGATACGCTAGTAAAAACATCTACTTTGGACAAGATTTTTACTATTTACACTTAAACAGAAACAGCTAATTTCTCACCCATTTAGAACAATAAGCATGTGTTATAACCTTCTTCCTTACAGTCTAGCAGTCTTTTAAGAAACTATACTGTCCCCAGACTTAAAGCATAAAACTGGAAAAATTTCTCAGTTGAAAAGGGACCAGATGTTGGTCAAGTTCATTTCATGGATCTTTAATTCATGGATGCTGTTAAGTGAATACACAGAAGACATTCTTATCCTCATTGGATCTGCTTAAATGCCTTAAAAAAATTACTTCTGGATAAAATGAAAATGCATTGAAATAACTTCTTATAAAGTGAACACTAAAGAACATCCATACTGGGTAATATTGAAGATTTTTTACCAATGCTATTGATAGATTCAATGAAATGTGCTGACAAGTATGAAATCACTATCTTTAAAAGGAATCTGCTGATTTATTGTTAAACTTCCATTACCCAAGACTGCTAGATTTCTGTATTATACCTCCAGCAATAACTGCATTGAATGTATTTCATTTAGCATTTTCTGTTGTTGTCCTTGTCTTACTCTAAGACAATTTTATGGTGCAGATATTCTGCCTTCTGCCTATCTATTGATAAGGAGAGACAAATGCAAAAGGATATAAGTGAAAAAAAATAGCATTTTACTAAAAGAAAACAGCAACAAAGAAAACAACACAAATCACTAGATACACAGGTGCTGAGTCAACTGGTTCCTCAGGGAACAAAAATACCGAGATGGCTGCCATCCAGGCAGCACATGTGACCCAGAGGACAAAGACAAGATGGTAGAGAGATTCTAATGGCTAAATCTTTCCCTGTGGAAGAAAAAAAAAAAGCGGGGGGGGTCATGGTGTGATTCTGGTGGCAGATGGGATGTGCTGGCGTTGTTTGGGGCAGGTCCTGGCCTGCAGTGCCAGTTTTCCTGTTCCCTCTGTGTGACAGCAGGGGTGTGTGTCTGGGATGTCACTCCTACTGTTTGCTGCCTCTTCCTGCCACCTGCTGGATTCCCTTTCAGCTTAGCCGGACTCGGTTGCAGTCAGGCTGCTGCCCCACTGGGGGAGAGGGAAATCCTCCCACTGGGCACCAAAAACTGTGGTCCTGACCCAGACATTCCCGGCTGCAGTTTTGGATCTGTCACTTTGGGGGCTATCACTTTTCATGAACTTGGGGACTCTGCCTCTTCTCAGCCCAATTGTCCTGTAGAAATGTCCTGGAGGGCTTGGAAGTGGGAAGAGACCCACAGGTCAGACAGTGCCAGGGTCTGCTTCACTTTGGTGAGCCAGACCACAATGGACCCCTTCCTGTTCCAGCCATGGCATTATCTCTTCTGAAACCATGCCTATAGCTGATGTGAATGGTATTATACTGAACAGCACTGAAAACTCTGTACCCAGGGTATTATCTACCCCTTATTCTATACCATGCACATGACATATATATATATAATTCAACATTACAGATGGTTCTCACCAAAATCGGTCCCCTTGAGGTACACAAAGTTCCCATCCCTCTGTATTAGCCACCAGGTCCTTAAGCAAAAACAATTGCATGGGATGGGTTTGCCTTTGCTTGAGATGGGACTAATCTCAACATGCACCATATGCACCATGGGGACTTCATCTGCTATATACAGGGATTCTGATTGGGCAGGGCATGGTTAGTGGAGCCGCTAGTGTTAACTAACCAGGTGGTCTTTGGTAAACGCAGATCCCAGTGTTTGAAGGTTCCACCGCTCATTGCCTTCAATGTGTTTTTTAACAACCCACGGCACTATTTGACTATCCTAGCGACTCGTGGCTGATAGGGAATGTGATACACTCACTGAATACCATGTTCTCTAGCCCAGGTGTCCATTTTCTTTTTAAAATGAGTACCATTGTCTTAAGCAATTCTTTCTGAGTAAGTTTTCTCCTGTTGCCACAGGAGAGGTGTGAGGCACAGGGTTGGTCTCCAGCCATCCAGTGGTTGCTTCTACTATTGTGAGCACATAGGGCCTGCCTTGGCAAGTTTGCTGCAGTGTGATGTAATCCATCTGCCAGGCCTCTCCATATTTATATTTGGTCCATTATATCCCGTACTAATGGGTTTTGCCTACTTGGTCTGCTTGATGCAATGCATGTTTCACAGTCATGGATTATCTGGGGTATGGTATCCATGGTTAAGTCCACCCTTCAGTCACAAACACATCAGTATTTTTGTATCTCTTCCCTCATGTCCTGAGGCATCATGGGCCCACCAAATTAGAAATAACTCTCCCTTGACAGTCTAGATCTACCTTTAATTTTGGCAGCCCAATGCATCTATTTGTTGTTGCAATGCTCCTCGTTAGCCCGACTCATAGGCATCTAGGCATCCACATGACCAACTTCTGCAGACAACTTCTTTACCCTAGCAGCAATGTCTAGCCAGATTTTTGCTGCCTGGACAAATTTCCTTCTTCAGTGCCAATTGGCCTTCTTCCATCATTCCAGCTGCCCCCACAGAGTGTTTGTTACCATCCACAAATCAGTATAGAGGTATAGTATTGGCCACTTCTCTCAATTGGCAATATCCAAAGCCAGATGGGTTTTCAGCTCTGCATCTTGACTTGATCCACCTTGTCTTTGGTAGCTTCTGCAACTTGCTGCTTAGGCTCCAATATGGCAGCTTTCCATTTCTGACTTGTCCCTATGATACAGCAGGAACTGTCAGTGTTGCCTCTCACTTTCTGGTGGCTGCTTATATGGTGGGGCCTCCTCAGCATGTGCCAACTAATCCTCTTCCTCTTCAGATGATAGTACGAAACACTCACCCTCAGGTCAGTTTGTGATAATTTCCCAGATCCCAGGGTGATTAGGATTTCCCATCTGAACTTGCTGTGTGATCAGAGTGATCCATTTACTCCAGGTAGCATTGTTGGCATGTTGTGTTGAAAGGACATTCCCCTTGAACGTTCTGCCTCACACTCCCCATGGTCATCTTACTGGGCAACTGGATTTGGTCTTATATTTCTTCCTTTAGACAGGGGAAACTGCTATTGGTTAGGCTATCCATCCTGTTTATCTGCAGCCTGAGTGATTGTGGTGTCTGCCAATTTGCTGTCCTTCTCTTCTGGCTGCAGCTGCTGCTGTAGAGTAACAAGAAGCATGCAGGTAAGCATTAACTAGGGCCCAGCACAGAGCAGTAAGTTGCCCCTTTCTGGAACTGCCACAGCAATTTTATTTCAAATAGTCTGCTACCTTATCAGAGTTCTGTATTTGTTTGGAGGGAGACTTCCAACCTATACTCCCTGACATGTGGTATGAGATAGTGCAGGCTTTCAAACGCTGAGGAAAGTAGATGTTCCATGAAGGAGTTCCAGAAGGAGGCAAAAATCTGGTGGCTCTCTGGCACCAACCCCCTCTCCACAGCAGTCAAACAGCTGGACTGGAGCCTCTTGGTGAGCTTTCTCTTCCTGGCTCAGCTCCCCAAGGCTTGGGGCTGGAATGGGGCAGCCCTGCTCCAGCCAGTCCCATCCTGCAGAGATCACCTCAAGGCAGATGAAAGATTGCTGCTGCAGGTTCTCCAAGCCAGAGGAGGGAAAGCTTTTTGCCTGGGCCAAGAAAACCAAGCTAGCCAAGTGAAACCAAACTGCACAGCACCATGGAATACCTGGGCAGGGAGGCTTCAAAAATGCCCTCCAAAAGGCTGAAACTCTCCCATCCCCAGTCCCACACACTACCAGTCCCAGCCTTTAAAGATACAACAACCATTTTTGGTCATAAAGCAGAAGACCATGGAATATACTATCATCATGAATCACTCCAAGACACCTCCCTAGAAATCTCCATCCTTACTGTAAAAGTAGACTGTACAGAGGAGACAGAGCAGAACCAGCAAGAAGAATATGATGTCCTTAGCATCCAGAGGAAATTCAGCTTTCTCAAGAAGTGATGTGTCAGACCTGAAGGGAAGGAGGTGAAAGGCAAAAGGAAAAATCATCTTCTCTTCCCCCCAAAGGCTGTGTGCAATTATTCATAAACCTCATGACATGGCAGATCAGGACAGGCAAACAGCAATGAATGCATTTACCAAATGATCTTCATTGCCTTTGATGTTATCATTCCATAAACTGGTATCACAAACTGTATCAACTCTCTGGACACATGTATAAGGTTAGGTGCCACAGCACTATGACCAGTCCAAGCAGTGTGGTGACCAGGGAGTTCTGTACCCAATATAGAAATAATTTGGTCAAATTTGTTATTTTTTTCACTTTTTCTCTTGACCCCCTTTTAGTTGGGTGCCAAATATATCTTAGTTTAAGGCAATTTTACAGGGCAGAGACTCTGCAATAACTGCCCTCCCCTTAGTTTCAACCTATCCCCTCTACCAATGAGGAGAGGTAAGTGCGAAGAGATGTAAGTGAAAAAGAGAAAACAGTTTACTAAAAGAAAACACAATAACCAAGAAATACAGAGGCAAACAGTTAAACCCTCATCCACAAATGCAGACGAGGTCCCCCGAATTGTCCCTTGGAACACAGACAAAATGGTGTAGATTCCACTCTCTGGGCCATGCGGCCAAGACGGGGGACAAAGGCAACGCACCAAACGAGCATCCATGGTTCCAAAGCTGCCTCCTTCCCCAAGCAACAGTGGGGGCGGGGACGAAACAAAACCTAGGAAAGGTATTTTTCTCCTAAAGGAGTAAATGCTGCTGAAACGCCGGGAGAAACTTCTCAGCAGATGTAGGGCCAGTCCCTAAGCAGATGGAAACTTGTGGAGCGGCTCCGACCCTTGGCGACAGGCGGCTGTCCTGAGCAGCAGCGGCGGAAAGTCCAGAGAAACATCTCCCCGGGCTCCAAAAGCGGTGGTTGCTGTAGCAACCGTGGCAAGGGTCGCTGTCTGTCTTTTATTTTTTTTATCAGTTCCTGGGAGGCCATGGCTAGCAGCCTGTGAGAGCGCCCTGCTTTCTGAGGTTCTCATGAGTCTGGAAAGAACAAAACAGAGAGCTCCACGTCTCTTGTTCCGGGCACCCCTCCCCTTTCCGTGTACCGGGGTAAAACGCAGAGGTTCTGCTTCCAACTCTGGGTCTTGAAGAGATAGTAAGCTACCTTGTACAGATTGATGTGGAGAAGATACGGAATACATGATTTTGGGTCGTCCCTAATGCTACACTCTACTTCCTATCTCTGTAACTATGACAATCCTTCTAAGCAAACACCTCCTCAAGTTAAAAACATTCAACAAATCAAATTAATTCTAATTAATTAATTCAGCTCGTGTAGTAGTGTTTCTGAATAATGCTGAGGACCATAAATTCAAATTCAGGCTTGCACAACTTCTTCCTAGGTTTGAAGACAAAGTACATTACAGGTACATTACATACAAAAAGAAAGGGGAAACCAGTTACCCTGTTAAACAGCATTCACTGGGGATGCTTGCGAAAGTGACTGCACTGAAGGTTCATACAGACAGATTTTATATCATGAACCAGAGAATGAAGTAGACAGACATAGCAATTAATTGTACCTAATGGTATTATACACATAAGGTTAAGTATGATAGCAGTCACACATGAGTGGAGTAATAGGAAGTTAATTATTGCAAAACCTTGATCACAGGCATTCAGTGCTTATAATTTTATTCAAAGTATGCTTTGCTTGTTCTGATACTCCTTCAGGCAATAATATGGGTTGTCAGATTCAGTTTTTTAAGGTAAAGGTGTGAAGGATATATGCTAATTTATACATGTTCATTGAGCATATTTCATCCTAATTGTTTTTTAAGAATGAGATTTTACTACAAAGCACTTGTTCTCCTTCTGGTTTTAGTAAGCTTTTAAATAGATACAAAGTGTACACCATGCTCTATTGCCAATAATGACTGTTCTCTTCTTGCAAATATAAGGAATGAAATATAGTTGTCCCACCATTCTATATTACATTTGATTTATTCACCAATCTAAACTTGTATATGGCTTTTGATTCTTGCAGTATGAATGAGGACCTAAGAAATGTGGGGACAGGATTAAAGTATTGCTCCCGACAGTTTCCTAAAAGTGAAAGAAGTCCTAAAAGTAAAAGTCCTTGTTTGGTTAGTTTTTTACATCTCCTACATTTCTGCATCATTCTTTGGTTCATTTATAACCTATTAGTTTTAATACTTGAAAATGTGATTTCTAGTTTTAGTATTGTTGTTTTACCTTTTGTCTTCAGGTGGTCTGGACTGGGAGCCTACATTTTAGTATCTACTTAGAACAGAATGAGATTAATATTAAAGGGATATCAAATTCTTAAATATCCATAGAACTTGCAAAAGAGGCAGAGCCACAGAAGTGACCATTGTATAGGAATAACTGGAGTGATAAAAAGTTTACCTGACTACATATCAGCATTATTGCTGTATTTATTATCCTGATTCTAACAGAATACTGCATTACTTTTAAGGTTCTGTAATTGACTACTACTAAAAAAGAAACAAATGAAAAATCTTCTTCACAGTCCTTCACTTTTGCAGTTTTAGTGGCATTAGCTCTTAGTCCTAAACTAGAATAGAGTATTCACATGGGGAAGGAAGAATCTGATGGTTTTTTCTTTCTGGTTAGATCGTTACACTTGATGGTTAAAGAAACAAAGAGCCAGTCAGTTTTGTAGTATTTTGTAAAATAGTACTGTCACTGCCAGAGAATTATGACAACTCACATTAAATATTTGGGTTGGACTTCATGTGGTGACATTTCACTGCAAACTTAGAGAGCACTGAGAGCATCTGCTTAACTTCCAAAATGTGTGTTAGCTCTTCCACTTTTTCTGTGCAAATTTTACAAGGTTTCCACCTCTACCAATGTGTGTGTGACACATAAAATGGAAAAAAAAAGTACTGTTGCAGTAAATATAAGTAAGATTTTGTAGTAGCTTTGACAATTTGTGTCAATTGCCTCATGCCCATGCCAAGTTCTGTGTGGCAAGGTTTTTGGGGGTTGTATTTTTCATGATTCAGTAATCTCAACTGGTGTAACCACACCTGGGGAGGGCAATTAATTGATATAAAATAATAAAATCACGATAAACAAGTTCTGTATTTTTTTGGTTGTTCTAAAGACTAGTTTAAAACACATTAAAAATTAAGAAAATGTTTTTTCTTCCAGGTGGGAGATGAAAGAAGATGCAGATCTTGAAGATGAGGAGGACACTATGGTGGAACACTTAAAAAATGTTTATTTGACACAAAGGACTCCTATCGCAGAGAATAAAGAAGAACAATTACCTTGACAGATTTCGGCTAGCACCTTTCTTCTGGACTCAACAAGATTATTTTAATGTAACTCACGGGACTAGAAAGCTCAAAAAATATGTATCTTGAGTGGGAGTTCTAAACTAAAGAGTGTTCCCCTCTTATTGTCTGGTCACCCTGTCCCAGAAGCAATTGTTCACACATGCATAAGGTGAGGAATGGTACGGGAAAATGTCAGTGTCACAAAACAAGGCGGTTGCATCTCAGTACTGCAGAGGCATAAACTGGAATGAAAAACTAAGAATTGTTTCAAAAATATAAAACTCATTCTGAAATAATGAAGTTTTAGATACAGGCTAAGCAAATGCTCCTGGTTTCCATCCACCGACTTTGGAGCTGGAGTCAGCCTGCCTCCAGTTCATGTCACTCAAGGGCCTTTTCTCTCCTTTGGTGCTTGTTTATTAAATCACCCAAAATACAAGAGAAGGGACAGGTATAGACCATACACCTACAGTGCTTTATGAGTTGCTCCAGGATGGGTATGCTTGGCCATTATTTCCAATCAAAAATGCATCAGCATTACTGCCCTCACAAATCCTTACTTAACATCCCAGTGTATTTTATGGCCTAAAAAACACATTACAGAGAAACTTTAGAAGTTTTGAGAAGCATCTTTTTATTTAAAAGAAGTATTTACAGTCAATGCTCAGAGGATTATCTTATCAGTGAATTGAAAAAAATAATAAGTAATTTAATTTTTTATAGTAAAATTTCATATTCAAAGTAACCCTGGTTTGATATTCAAAATTATCTGAATATTAAATATTTTTCTGAATACTAAAAGTTTTTCTTACACACTGGTTAAAATCAACATTTTTTATACAGGAGGTATGGTTAGTACCTCTTTAGCTCTACAGAAATAATCCATAATTTCTTCTGTAAGTTTCTTTCATTAGAAGTCCACTGTTTTTTCTTCCTGATGTAGGATTCTGGCAGGATCTTGCTAAGGGTGCAATCTGAGCAGAGTTATTCGTGTTCCCAGCACATCTTCACTCAGATGCTATTATGGACATAAGTTAGATTACTTCAATATGAAGGCATGCCTTTTTCCCTAAAGGCTCCAGCAGCATCATGGGTAACCATATTACGAATGCTGATTTAGGGTCTTATCTGAAATGCAGGTTTTCTCCTCTTAATTGCTCTTTTTTTCCTTTTCATATAAAGAATCATACCATTTAAAATGAAAATGTGGACAATTGCATCTTACAAATCTCCAAAGATCTTGTTACAACACTGCAACACAAAAGGGCTGTGAGGCACTGGAGCTTAAAAGATGCTCAAAATATTAATTAAAGCATAAAGTAGACATTTTCCTCTGCTGCCAGTGTAGTAATTTCAGATCATAAAGGAAGTGATGAAGTGTAAAAACCATTTATCTCTGCTTTGTATTTCACCTTTGAAGATTAGTGGTGGACTTCAGATTTAAAACATGTCTACAGGGATCTTCCATGATGGCAGGTTTGGTATTCTGAAAAATGAGGCACACATATTCCAAGCCATACAAATAAAGTGTTAGTGTACATAGAAACTGGAGATCAGGATATTCTCTCCTATTTTATCAAAATCTATTGTACATAATCAACTTTTTGCATAGTCACATAAAGTGCCTATGCAGTGAAACCGATGGAAATGCTTCTTTGTGAAAATGCTCCCCTTCTGGGAAATACCTTCTGCGAAGAGGATAAACTTTGCAAGTGAGTAAGCTAACTGAAAATAAAATCCCTCACTTGCACTTCAGTGGAAATATCCATGCAGTCACTTCCCTGGGCCTGCTGGCCACACTATTCCTGATAAAGTCCAAGACACCATTGGCCTTCTCAGCTACCTGGGCAGACCCTGGCTTATGTTCAGCTGGTTGTTGACCAGCAACTTTTCTGCTGGGCCACTTTCCAGTCACTCTGCCCAACACCTGTGGCACTGGTTTGGGTTGCTCCTCATTGAACAGGGTGTTGATCCTTGTTGCACTGGCCTCAGTCTACTGATCCTTTGTCCAGATCCTTTGTAAATCCTTCCAACTCTCCAACAAGTCAACACTTTGGTGTCATCTGCAAACTGACAGTGCTGACTGAGGATGCCCTCTAGTCCCTGGTCCAAATAATTGATAAAAATATTAAATAGGATTGTCTCCATTACTGAGTCTTGGGGAATTCCACTTACGACTGGCCAATGACTAACATGCATAAGAACATAACAACATAAAAGTTGAACCTTTGCACAGTATTTTATTTGGATGTTTTTCTCATCCAAACCTATACATGCATCTTTTAGGGTATCTGAGTGCAAGCAAATGTGTATTTCAAATTTACTTGACCCACAGTCCTTACTGAGAAATATCAGGGCTTGGTCTTGCTGGCAGTGTAACCATTCCAAGTAACCTTTAGGGTATAAAAGAGACATCATCTTGGCAATATTACTTAGTGCTGAATACACACTTCTACAACATTCATATTCAATAAAATTACAGTAATAATAACAATTGTACTACTAAGATTGCTAAGGAACATGCCATTAATTTATCAAGATTGCTTGCTTTAAACTTAAACACTTAATTGAAAATCAAAAGAGCTGACAATTTTTCCATTGCATAGATGTATTCCATAGATGCTTTTGTGTAAAATTAGGAATATAACTGTAAGACTGCTGCTTTCTTTGGCTTTTCTTCATAAAACAATAGTTCTATATTCTTTATAAAGGTCTGCTGATTCTAAAATTGATTTAAGATTAAATTAATTTTTAAGAATGATATGATGTCCTGGGTCTTTGACACTACCTATTGATCCAGTCTCACAAAAATGTTTAGCTAAATAAATGAAAGCATCAGGCATCAGATTTGTTGGCTACAGAATGGGCCTGAAGTTTCATGACCACCACAATCTGATCATGTTAATTCCTTCTGGAAGGTGGTCAAAAATAAGAACTAAAGTCTGTTGTGTACAACAGACCTTTCTGAGTGGGCAAGAGCTGGCCTCACTGGCTTAACTGAATTAGCTCAAAAGGAAGTTAATGTATTTATAGAAATTAATTGGATCAGATAGCACAAACTAGGTTAACTATACATTATCATTAATGCTCACACCTAATTATCATTTAACAATTTAATATACTTAGCTCCTTTTACAAAACAGGCTTCAATGGGAGACTTCATGGCATGGAATATCTCTAATTAGGTTTGTTTAATGTTCCCTTCAGAATGCTCCAAATCTTAACATCTTTCATCTTTTGAAAGGTAATTAATAAAATTAGAAGCAGGGCAAAGTTGAAATTGCATTAGTAGTAATGCAACTCAGAGAGGAGAAAGATATTTTGGGAACAGATTAACATTTAGACACAGCCCTGTTTTCTAGTGACTGCTGTCCTGACAGACTCCCATAGGCCATGATTTATTCTAGGAGAGGGAATTTGATGTGTATCTATGCTATTTGCTCAGGAAATATGTGCAATGGCAAATGGATGGATGTTCTCTAATTCACCTCTACATCATCACAGCAGTGCATGGTAGGCATGAGGCTGGCTCCAGTTAGCTTCTGCTGGTAGAATTATTCCATTTTCCTCTCAGCTGGAAGGTCTTCACAAAGTCCTAGTGAGTCTTATGTACAGTAAAACATCAATTATATGCTGATATAATATTATTTTATGGAGCTCCCTAAAAATGTGTGCAATCATTTCTAGGTACAAACAGTACTCACACTCCCAAGGCAACAGTTGAAGGATGGAGGAATCAGATCCATTGCCCAATTAGACATGAAATGAGATAATAATTTGATGGCAACAGAGAGATTTCTAAGTGACTAGATAGATCTTGGGGAGATTTTTGTTGGAGGAAAACCACTTTTCTGTAGTAATTTTCCATGGTGTAAACGGTGTTACACATGGAAACAGAATCTATAAAACTATTCTAGGTGTAATGAGTGAGCTTGCTTTATCCTCTATCTTTGGACTCCAGCACTTGAAATGCAGACTAAACTAACTGACATTGCTAGGAAGGCAGTACAAGAAAAGCATGCAGGGTCTTGAGCCGGTGGGGCTTGAGGCCGTGTAATACCCATCAGTAAAATGATGGAGGAACCAGATTATTCCTCTTCAGCAGCATCATTTGAGAATAGATTGTTACCAATTATTGCAGCAAGTGAAATGATACAGTGCTAACCAAAAAACATTCTAAAATCTAAGGACTCATGCAAAGAAGTAAAAATAAATCCAAATACTTTTTTTTTTCCTGAAGTGATTCTGTCTCAGGAAGAACTGGCAATGACCAAATATTAATGAGTAAAGTGCTCTTCTGAATTAAGACTGTATCTCTAAATTTAATAGACAGCTATCCCTAAGCTGACAAGAAATCATGGCTGGTACAAATTTCACTACTGGAGGAAGACCTTTGTATCCAGGACAACTTCAGCTGTTAGTAGTTTGCAAGCTCTCTGAGAAGATACAATGTAATATCTCCTAGAAAGTGTATTTATGTTAAAATAGCTCATTTTACATTTTCTGCCTATGTGGTAAAACTGACTGAAACACCTTTTGTGAAAAACCTTCTCTTCTGGGGAACTCTTTTTTGGAAAAAGATGCATTTTGCAAGTTAAATAATCTAATCCAGAATAAACCCCCTCACTTACTCTTACATAAGAATGTCTGTACATGGAGTTGTTCCAAATGGGCTGTTGTCCTTTAAATTCACAGACCTTGTAATATTTAAGAAATCACATTGGTCAAAAACAACAAAAAAAAAACCCCTAAAACATAAACAAACAAACAAACAAGCCCCAAAACAAACCAACCAAAAAAAGGAAAAACTAAAACCAAACCAAAACAAAAGAGACAGAACAAAACAAGACTTTTGTGTCCTGTTCACTATGTTTTCTCCCTGATGCATTAATTCAGCAGTAACCCACTGTGCCTACTGTTGTAGGAGAGTTCTGTCTTTCCCTTTACAAGCATCAAGTCTAACTATTAACCCAGCACTGCCAAGCCACATCTGCACATCTTTTCAGTCCCTCTAGGGCTCGTGCCTTCACTGTGATTATAGAATTTCTGCAGTAGGTTGATCTAAGCTCCAATTTACAATAAGCCTAAATGTCCACAATGGCCAGAGTTACATTCATACTCTATCTGGAAATAAGTCAAAGAAACACAATTATGATCATATTCAACAGGTTTGAGTTTTTCCAGTTACTATGTCAAACAGAACATCATGCCAGGCCAAACACAGGTTTCAAACTTCACTGATGATGGAGGTTTGCTGCAACATCACATAACTTCTTCCTTTTAGGGAAACCTTTTAGAAAAATAGTATCTTTTCAGCTCTTCTAGTAAATACAAACATTGATTAAAATTACTTTTGTAAAACAAGCACTCAGTCATTAGAAAACACTTGATGAATGATTAGCAATGTACTCATGAATGTTCTTTACAATACCTATTAATGAGATGGTTATGTATATTCTGTCCCTAGATTAATTCACTAGAGGATGGTATATGATTATACAAGCAACTTCGATAAATTTGTGATTGCCTAATATCCTATAATTTTATCATTTTGTCTTATAATCTGTGTTTTTGAAGTAAAAAAGTCAGTAACTTTTGAATATTTGGTTTCCATAAAGAAATAGAGTTACAAAGTTCTTCATGGGTCAGTTTGACTCTGGTTTTTTTCCAACTCAATACTGCCTTTCTGTCATCCTTGACAAAGTTTCTGGTTTATTAATATTGCTGTAATTTACAATTTACTGCTCCCACTCAGTTATACATGGGCAAATATTTAATCTTCTTGATTGTTACACATAAAGCTGTGTAGGTCCTACATGGATAATAATTTCAGGTTTAGGGTTTGGAGCACTTCTGCTCCTAATGTTCCACATTAACCTATGTTCTTGCATTCTTCTAAACTACCTTTATTGTCTGGGATAGCAGGAACTGTGCTGCTAGTGACTTAATATTTTTTACTTAAACAAATGTATTTTGCCTCAGGTTTTATTTTCTTTAATTTCTCTGAACTTTAAATTTACCCTTGGAAATCCATAGCACATCTGTTTTCACAACCTACAAATATCTAAATACTAATCAGTAAAGCCTATGCCTTCTCAAACCTGATACAGGGTCTTAGAAAACCAAAAATTCAATAAATGTAAAATTGAGACCTACCACCTGCAAGGTTATAATTCAAGAAATTGAATAGTTGTTTGCACTTGGATTTTCACCTGTCTGTAAAATTCAGAAATGTAATCTTTAAAGAGTTGTTTGCTACTGTACAGGAATCTTTGTCTATGTATAAATATATACATATTCCATATAATTAACATGCCTTAAATGGATTTTATTATGTAGATTAAGATTATGCTTTTCCTCTAGATAATGGACAAACATTGGGGAAATAAGAGGTTGAAATGTCAGGTGGTTTTTGCTGTGGTTAGCAAACAGATAACTGTCTATGAAAAGCCAGATATGCCTCTGGGAATGAAATTCTGTTGGCAGGAATCCTACCTGCAGGTATGGATTAACTGCAGGAAATTGATGGCCGAACAAGTGCTGTAAAGACTTTCTTTTTCAGAGGAAAATGGATTAAGTCTCTTCAAACAACAATAAATTTCAGTTATGGCTCCCAAATTTCACACATGCCCTTCCACTTTATGAATGAAGAAACTGAGAGAGGTTGTTGCATTAATGCAATGCCAATGTGTAATGTTAGTCATCTGGCCTCCTTTAACCAGAACATGACAGTCTGTTCTTTAATTCCAAGAGCTGTGCAGGGTCTGTATAATTACTGACTGTACCTCCAACAGACTTTGGTATCAGCACACAGACAACTCCACTGTAAGGTGCACCTCCATCAAAAGGTGCCCTTTATCTGCATAACAGAAAATGCACATGCATTTGCTTTTCCATTTTCTATGTAGACAAATGTTTAGATGGCAGTTGTACAATTTTTTTGAAAGTTATGTAATACCCTGAAGCAATCATCTGCTCTAAAATGCATAATTTATTCAAAAATCATTTGCAGAGTTGAGGGATTGATAGTTTAGAATGGAAGAATTATAGGTATGCTGAGAACATTCTTGCAAAAATAAGTCAGGTAACGTTATATTGAGATCAAATATTTCAAAATTCCAAGTACAATTAAATTGTTTGCACATATAAGAGCAGTGAAATAACTTCGCAAGGTTTGCATCATAAACCCATATATCTACAGAGTAAATAGTAGAACACAGACCATAAAGTTCTGTCATGAGTGCTGCTTTCAATTTTTGTTTCATTCCACCAAAACTTTTCATATCAGTGTGGCATTTTTTTAACAACTATATACAGGACCAAAGAATTATGAGTGGTAACTTGAAATATATATCATATATATTTAATCTTTACAACAAATGCAAAAGCAGTAAGTGAAAAACAAAGACATAAAAGACTGTAAAAACTCTTGAGAACATATAATGAAGCATAAGAGTGAATGTCACAACAGATTTATGTACGTTCAACTTTCAGCAAAAACTGCTGAAGATGAATTTAAGAATATTTATATATCATACTTTTGGCATAATAGCAGGAACCAAAATAAATTATCCAGGAATAGGATGTAAGAAACAGATTCAGAGTGTAAACAACAAGTTAAATAAGAATTTTGAAATAAGAAACCAAAAGAGAAGTTTTCCAGCCCTGCAGAGCACTCAACGACAGTGTTGTTTTTTAATGAGTTTTCAGAATTTCACTTTTTTTCCCCAAGTTTCTAGTTCAACTATTGTGAAAAGTATTTTGGAAAAGGTAAAACATTATTTTTGTCAAGAAAATGAACATATTTTTATTTTTTATTAAATGCATTATCTGTATTTATGCACTGAAAATTGTTCACAAAAAGCCTATTCCATCTATGTCAAGCCAAAAGAGCAAATGAAAAGGAACAGCAAAGGCAAATCTAAGGAAAATTTTTTTTTTCTCACACTCTCTTTTCTTTTGAGCTTTGATTCAGAAGGGACATTGCTAAGACTATGGGGGTTTTTTTGTTTGTTTTTTTTTTTCCAAATATCTTGAAGTAGGAACTGTCATTAACTAAAACAAACACATTAAAGTATTTAAAAAAAAAATTATTTGTTTTCCAGATTGGGGTTTAACAAGAGCTGGGTTTAAGTTGCTCCATAGGGAGACCTGCACTGTGCAAACACATTGCTCAGCACTAAATAGTACGTTGTGATATTCATAAAGTAGATGGCACAGAATGGTCCATAGGACCAGCAAAATGACAATGCAGTTTTTAATATGATTCTTCTCCAGTATGATACCCTTTGAGTCTTTTTGTCAAAGAAAATTATTCCTAAACTGGATCACATCCCATTTATTGCAAATGTAAATCCAACCCCTGCAAATGAGAAGTGCTCAGTCTCAGTACACTCAGACGGCTCTGCTGTGATCTGTTTACCAGGATTAGCAAACAGGGTTTGCCTTTAACCAGCAGCACTATGCCTGAGAACCAACAGCACTAGTAACTCAGAGTGCCAGATACTGAAAGCAGAAACGCTGGGACTTCATGGTGTTCCACAAACACTGAACACTACAGGAGGCCCTAAAACTGCTTATGAAAGTTGCATCGCAGGATAGCTATTACAGTCAGACATCCTACTTGCTACAATCATTGATCAGCTGCTTCTGAAATCCTGCCCATCTTTACTGTGTTATCTGGAGTAGATAAAGTTTTAATTGTGAGCAGGTGGTATAAGAAAAAAAAGAATAAAAAGAAATAGACAAGGAATATTCTGCATTCCAAATTTCTCATCCTATCTAATTTTCTATTTGAGCGTCTTCATGCTGATTGAAGTTCTTTTTTTCAATCTTCTGATTGAAAGCAGTTTTTGAAAAGACAAAAATATACATAAAATCAATAGAAACAATAATATTTAGGACAACAAAGAACAGTTCACAAAGTGCATTGCAGAATGTAGATAAAAAATAGTGCCTATTGCAGCTTTTTCCCTTTTATGCTTTGACTCTTATCTCACTTAAGTTTGAAATAATTCCTAGTTTTCTTAGTAGCCATTACCAAATCCCATGTTTTTCTATTTATCCTGCATGTATTTATGACCTTAAGAGCTTCTTCCCTGTTTTCCCTAAGCTACAGTATTAAACTTCAGAAGCTCTCATTTTGAGGCTTAAAACGGTTTAATTCACAATATTTTCATTCATCTTTTCTGTTCTGGTTTTTGAGTAGATGAGATGACTTTTTTCAGGCATCTGAAATAATCCTTATTAAGCAGTATTCATTACTCTAAGAACTGACTATGATCACTTGTCATCAACAAATACCTGACCCCCTTGGTGTACTTCTCTTTAGATATGATGAAGTCTTAAAGTAACTTCTCCTTTTTTGATATGTTTTGAGTTATAATTTTTTCCTCTAAATTAAAAGAAATATTTTCATACTGACAGCACTGAAAACTGCACGCTTTGTCACACAGACTGCATCCCTCAGTTAGAGCAATTTTTCTCATTTCCATGATGCAGACAGACACTGGCAGAGCCATTTGCCCAGGTCAGTTGGCGACTTCA